CAATTTTTCTTTCGTGTATTTTGATAGATTTTTTAATTTTTTTTCTTAATGGCACTTTTCAAACTTTTCAAATTCTCGAAATCGAATTTACAAATCTTACTCCTTAGTAAAATGGATGTTTGTTAGAGTAATCTAAACTGCTTAACGGATCTTGATAAAATTTTGTACAGATGTAAAGGATAGTCTGGAACTATGGGCTACTTTTTTAAATTCCACGCGAACAGAGTAGCGAGCAAAAGCTAGGTACTCATAAAACGTGAGAAAAAAAGCTAGGAATTAAATAAAAAGAAATCTCACCTTAGTTTAGTTAAAAATAGTTATTTTAATATTTATTATCAAAACGTGCATCAGTAAGGTACAAAAATTTATGCAAAAGGTATTTAATTTTTACTATTTTCATTTTAACTCAAAAAAATTGTAATGATAGTTTACGTTAAAAATAAAGTTCAAAATATGAGTAAAAATTGTTAGAGTTAACTCAAACACTACTTAGAAAAGTAGTCTATTAGTAGAAATAGACAAGAATGGCTTTGGTATAAAAATATCTAAGAAAATGTATACCAAAAACATTGAACATTGAAAAAACAATTGCCAAGCACACTCAGTACCTCATCCTTTCTGAAGTTCATCCAATCTTTTCATTATCACCATATGTGGTCATTATTTTCTCAAGGATTCATGTAAACTAGCTAGTAGCTATCATCTTGTTTTATTCTTTATTTCTTCTTACACACAATATTTATAATTAATAAAAAAGCACACAATTACGTTGTTACTTCGAATCACATTTTGCACTCTCCTTCGCGCCTAAAATCTCTCTTTTGTTTTAATTACCTTTTTAATTTGGTGAATTATTTATGGCCAGTTCTTACATTCAAATTTATAACTCAAATAATAATACTACAAATATCTTTCATATAAACCATATTACTATTTTAAATAAATGTACTTTGTGTTTCAAACAATATTATTGGAATACAAATGGTTCGCATATTTTGTCAGCGCCATCTAGCGGTCAATATTGACTCTTTCGTTAATATATATGTTTATATCCCTAATAAGCCTTTTCTCCTATCTACTTATTATTAAACGCTTTATTTAAAATTAACTGATTTATTTCCCTTACCAATTCTAAAGTGATAAGATTTGATTTTTACGTTTTTTTGGATTTGAACCTATCACCGCTTTGGACCTCCGTACTCTAATTTTGAGGGCTTCCTCCTAACGTTATTGAACTGGTTGACACAAGCTCTTGGGTTTTTCCTACATCGTGCTTTTGCAATATTGCGTCGTCATTCTTTCGACATTAATAAAATAGTAACCTGCCTCGGCCTAGTTAATGTTATAAAGATAAAAAATAGTAAACATAAGCTAGGTTAACAAACATTGGGAGATTTTTAATATTTCAGCCAGAGTCAAAGGTTAGTGACGTCAAATATCACATAAATATTGTTATGTTAGAAAATACTTCATTGAACTGTACTCTTTGCGTAGATTTTTGTGATAACTCACGATCCCGACACTAACATTTGTTTATTTTTTAAATTACTTTTTTTTTACTAAAATATAGATGTAATTTTATTAAATTTGTATCTTTAATAGGGGTTGTTTCAATATTCAACGGAATTGTTCTTAAACTTCTCTTATATCATTCACTCTGTCTACCCTTCTCAGTTGAGTGTTTAATGATATACCAGTTGTTCCGTCCACACCTTAACATATGTATGGTGTCGGAATGTTTATGAAAATAAATAAAAACCCACTTCCCTGTAAAGTTAGCAGACTGGAAACGTCTTGAATTGCATTTTTATTATTATTATTTCTTTGTAAAATGTACATTACATTTTCAATCCTTAGAAACTTTTTGTGTCACGTTTACGAAAAACATTAAAATAACCTCTAGTTTGATGTACAGTAAATATGTTAAAAACAATACCACATTCAATAAAAAAGGAAATAATATTTTCATTTTACTACTAACTTACGCGACTCCGTTCATTTGGAATTAAAAGCACAAACTTAGTTATGTGTCTTTCAGAAAATGCTCTACATCTTTTTTTTTATAACATAAGGTTGCAAACGAGCAAGTGGCCACCTGAATCCGCCAAAATGGCGAAGCGACCAATGCCTATAGACATCCGCAACGCACCGCAACCCGAGACGCACATAAAGAGGATATTTCCCCTCCCTATGCATCTCCTCCATCGTCAAATCCACTTCCCCTTCCCATCCTCTCCTTATAAGAAAAGGGTGGTAAAGAGAAAGGGACTTAAATTAGACCTCCGGCACTATACCCATCAGACTGTACACGGAATTGCTTCCATTTCACGCCTGTCTTCTGTGTGGTCGTGGTATTACTGGGGGCGTGTCGGCCTTGCAGTGCTAAGATGTTAAAGCGGGCACTACCACTTTCAAATCTGTGCCAATTTTCATTCAAATCTGTAGTAACAATTCATCCATACAAGCTATTCCATTTAAAATATTTGTATGAAGTATCGATCGTTAAACAACCAATAAATACCGTAAGCTATTCTGCAATGCTTTACTTACAATTAAAAAAAACAAAAAGAAGAATAACTCAAAGCTATATAATCTATACTAATATTATAAACGGAAAGATTTGTATTTTTGTATATATTAAAATAACTTAAAACTGCGCTAATTAAAAAAAATTCTTGCACCATTAAAAATCAATGTTATCAATGAGAAACATAGCTTATATTTTTTTAATTCCACGTGGAAGTCGAAAGCAACAGCTAGTAATAAATAAAAACATATAAACCAGAAACTTTCCACGCATTTCTCCGTACAAATGTTCATAATAATTATCAGATAACGCCCTATTTAAAACAGCAATTTACAATCAAAGATTACACCCACGGTATAACATATATATGTACTAACAATGCGCAAAACATACCACTTATTTGCATACAAAGGAATTGAATATTTTTTGCGACAGATGACCGCTTTCTTTTACGCTTATTCTGGTATAATAAGTGACAATAATTTGATAAGTTAAATTACATATGTCGTCAGTCTGGGGCTCAAGACTCAAGACCACCAAGAAGGTTAATATGCCATAGTCAATACCACAGATTATCTAAGCAATGGGCGTTGGTTGACTTTACAGATATTTTATCAATTTCCACAGAGTATATAGAAGTTTTCTTTCACACCGATATTTAACATTTCCTAGTTATTTTTGAGGAGAAACTAAATTGAGTTGAATCCAATAATTTATGTTATAAATAATTAGTTATTTTTGCTTTAATAAAAAATGGATAAGTACACTAGAGAGCAAAAACAATGAACCATAGATTCATTTTTTTTCTTATAGATGTCTTCGAAATGCGGTCGAAGGCCAATACAATCGGGTTTTACTCGATAAGTGGGAAATTGAACGTTTTCTGTTCCGTTAATGTACTTTGGGATGTTATGTCATAAAACGTAATTGCTTATGTACTATGATCAGATGACGCTACATAGACGTAAACACGTACATTCAAACGAATTGTCAATTTATTTCCTACCAGCTTTGGCCCGCGATTTCGTCCGCGTGGAAAAAACAAAAGAAAATAGCCTATGTTTCCTAAATTTAATCGAGAACCATTTAGTAGCTTATGCTACAAACTCTATAAAAATCCATCTATCTATACGCATTTATAATATCAGTATGATTTTAAATTCTTTTATTTAATCTCGTCAAGAATGAACTTAAATTGTGCTTTAGGAAGTAGATAAGTTTTTTTAATATGTTTTCGATACAATAAATGTCATATTTATGGGCCATAAACACTGCGCTAGGCGTTAATCAGATTATTGTTATATTCAGACTAAGAAAGGAAACTTGTTTATCAAAAAAATGTTTCCGTCTTCAATCTATTTTTATATTGTTTATTTTGTAGTAAATTATGCTAAACCCCACTTCCGAATAATTACCGTAGGATTCCACTGTTCCAAATTTTGGTAAAGATCTAATGGCTGTGGAATTCTGTGGTTTTTGACTAGTAATATATTGTGCCATGCCCTATATAATATATTAGTGAATTTTTAACGCCGGCGTCCAGAAACACGCTGTTTATTAATAGTTCCTAATAGTAATAATAAAATATATGTTACTCACAGATAAATTACCTTTCTGAAGGTGAAAGAATTTTTAAAATCGGTCCAGTAGTTTTTGCGTGAATCAAATAAATACAAAAATACAAATCTTTCCTCTTTATAATATTAGTATAGACTAGATTTCGCTCGCGACTCCGTTCACGTGGAATTAAAATAAAACAAAATAATGTAGCCTATGTTCTAGACTATGCTTTATATTTATGCCAAATATCATCAAGATCTGTTCAGTCGATTTAAACTCTAACAATACATCCATCCATACTTTTTCATTAAGTAAAAAGTAAGTAACTTATACGAGTTTATTAATTTAAGTTAACTGAAGTAGCGATTGCAATAAGTAAATTTTAGAACAAAAAGAAGTAATTGAGATGAGATCACATACTATCACGTTGCACACAAAATTCGTTCCATACAACGTGTCAAACGTATCGTTTTTTTAATTAAATTGTAAACTGAAACATGTGTTGATAACACGTGCACAGATAAAAGAAAATCCTTCACAGGAAAATACGTTTTTATATTCTTTTATCTACAAAAACCTTAAGTTTATCAATAATTGTTTAGCAATAGTCCTAGTTAATTTAAGGCGAGTTTTGTTCAAATTAATAGACTAATCATCAGTATGTCACCACGGAAAATGTCAGAGCATATCATAAGTTAAGAAAGGCTAGGAGATAGTTAATTATCTTCCCTAGTGTTTAGAACTTATATTACAGATTAACGGACCTTTAAGGGCTGTATAAACAATAACATTATACCTGGATTAACAACGGTAAAAAATATCAGCAAGTTATGGATACAATTAGCTATTGTAAAAAAACACTTGTGTGAAAGAAACCGTTTTCAAATTATTGATATAGAAATATTATTTGTTTTATATCGGCATACTAAAGTCACATTGTATTACAATAAATAATGTCTTTGGCCGCTACGTTCCGATGCACGCATACAAACGAAGCGTACAGAAAGTTATGACAAACAATAGTGCGTTTATAAAATAAGCGGCGTCGACGAAAAACGGCTTCAGTTGATTGCAGAATATCGCAAGGTCAAGAGCAAAGGCTCTCGGCAGTCTGCCGCGGATCCTGACGCCGATGTGACTTTTGCCTCGGATCATCAGAAAAAAAAAATTGTCTATTGACAAATGTCAAAATTGGCGCGAGAAGTGTTTTGAATTTCGTAATTGTGTTTAATTACATTTATTTTTTTTGTGAAATCATTTAAAAAATACAATTAAATATTTATAATTTTATGTTATGTGTTTGTAAATAATTGAAGGACCAAGGGAAATATAATCGAGTGAGTAAACTTTTACTATCAAAAAATTTATAACCTATTTATTTTATTTATGTTTAAAATAACTCATTATTTACGACTATAAAGATATTTTTTTAAATAACATGACGGATGTAAACAGTTAAACACGCAAGAAAGGTTTCGCTCTTGTATTCATAACAACCAACGAGATCGTATTATGAAACAATGGTTGCAATGTTCAAACTTGACGTCCATATACCGAAAGAATATAAAATCAACACGTGTAAATCTCGTGGGATTTACAGGAATTGTATTCTCAGTTATATCGGGCCAATGTAAAAATAGATCGATCAGTTGGCAAGGTTTCTATGGGCCGTGGTAAATACACGTGGGGAAAAATCTTATCAAATAATTGAAACATAGTTAAGTCTACCTTGTTTTTTACAAGAAAATTGTATTGATTTTTCGTACTTCATAATTATTAAAAAAGATTATTTTAATTGGTACAAAAATTCTAAAAATACTTGTTTAGTTATATTTTTGTTATAAACTAAATATAATTTTTATCAATATATACAGATTTCGAAATTGAAATGTATATAGACATTAGCGGTTAAAATTAATGCTTTTTTAATTTCTTATAAATTATAAAAATTATTACAAATTGATCTTAATTGAATGACATATTCCTGGCACGTAGTCATATATAAACTTACGCCGTAACGAAAAAATTACAATTACCGGTCGAAATTAGATATTTTTTTAATTGAAAATACCTTTATGCAATTATGCACTCTACGTTGTATTTGTATCAAAATTTTAGATTCAATTTGTTTGATTTGTTTACAATTTTTGGCATAATGTAGCTTCATAATTACAATTATTTTACCTATAAAAAAACATCTAGATACACTTGAAGCTTGACATTGTTATAATCAAAGCCACGTGTTTATTATTCTATCTTCGTCTTGCAATCTCGGGTACAGGTAAACGTATTAACAAGCATAAAACATCGTCTGAACTGACGTATAAAACAAAAGCATCCTAAATGCATAGCATTGGTTAATTTTGTGTTGTCAGTTTCTAAACGTATTTATTTCCTGAATACAATAAAGTAAATAAAAACCAGAATTAAATATTAAGCAGTCTTCGTTAAGTAGAAAAATATATCTTTGTATGAATAACAAAATAATTATAATTTCTGTGTCCTTTGATCTTATTATCGCAGTTATAAACTAGCTTTCGCCCGTGATTCCGTCCGCGAGGAATACAAAGACAAAAGCAAGTAGCGTACACGCTCTTCCAGACTATCCTCTACATCTATGCCAAATTTCATTGTGATCCGTTCAGCAGTTTGGGTCACAAACTCTAACAAACATCCATCTAAAGTTTCGCATTTATAATATTAGTAAGTAAATTTGGCATAGATATAGCATAGTCTGGACACATACTACTAAAGTATTAGATTATTTCACGCGGACGGAGTAGCTAATACGATAGAATTAGATATAAAATTGCCAATTCATGCGATCTACGAAGACAATTTAACAAAAACAACCGTAAAACAGTAAAAGTCGACATTAGTATTTTATCAATAAAGTATATTTAATGGTATTAGTGAGGTTTATAGAACAATACTGTTTTGCATATCGCTTGCTGTTACAGAAGACAATGAACGGGAGACCGCTAAATATGATAACGTTCGAATAATGTTGTCTTGAATATCGTTGGTACAAATAGGCTGAAGTTATATGTACAGTGGGGTAAACAAGCGGTGGATCACCTTCATCATGAACTTGCCCTTATCCCTTATGGAGGGTCGGCTTATTATGTGATGCTCTTCCATACATCTCTATCAGCCGTCATATCTACTTTCACACAATCCATCCATACTTTCTTCGGTCTTCCTCTTCCTTTGTAGCTATCAACATTCATTCTTAACACTTTCTGGTTCAATACATCACTTCTAATGTGTCTGTACGTAATAGTGATATACGGCCAGTGTCTTTTTATTATTATCCCTTTGTTAAGAAGAAAATTATGTACTACTGTTGTTTTTAGAAGAAAATTATCATAGTACTGCTCTGTAGGCGCAACAATAGATTGTCGGCAAAGACGTCCCGTCCCTATTTGACGGCTGTAAAATGTCAGACATAATGGAATAGCGCGCCATCCTGGCAAAATTGTAGGTATGGGTGTTATAAGTTAATATCGCTAGTTACAATAACACTAATTGTTTATAATGTACGAAGTGGCGGAGTTTGTCTCGTTGAATGAGGCAATTTTTCGCACTACAACTCGGTTTCCGTTACTGTACAACTTAACAAATTATAGTGGTATTCTGTAAAGGAAAGAATTGCTATAAATGATTCCTTTGCTGCTGTTTTTAATCTCGGTTTTACAATGTTTTTTTTTTTTTTTAAATAGTGACAATGTTGTTCAATAGATTTTCTATTAAACAATGTTTTGTTGTTTCTTTTTTAATTAAATTAAATATCCTACTGCAAATCTTATCACGATTAAGAACTGAATGCCCTTAATGGGTTTCTCGATCTTTGTCTAATTGTCTTATGACCAGTTTCCCAGATAAGTTTAGCCGTTCGTTAGTGTTTTTTTGGTTCGATACATTCTTACAATGCGTTTCCGAACTACGTAACTTGAGTTTAACTCCTTTGAAATTTAGTTTAACCACTAATGATCGTATTTGTAGATTTTTGTACGTTTTCGATTAGCTTAAAAACTATTTTGCCGATTTCAAAAATTCTTTCACCATTAGAAAGGTGTATCTGTGAGTAACATAGGCTTATCTTCTTCGGAAACCGGTATTAAGGACGAGATTTGTTATTATTGGTAATTGTCTCTTGTCTTAGTCAATATTGTCTCGCATTGCGTTATGCTCCGATAGCATTTATGCATAACAGATAATTGTAACATGTAATTTTAAATGTAGGAAGTACAATAAAATTATATGTACATATTTATCGCCTACAAAAGGTTAATCTTTTAGCAAACTGGTTTGTACAAACTTCTGATTATGTTTTACTAGTTGGTAACCGCGACTTCGTCCGCGTTGATTAATTTGTCATCCCGGAATATGTATTTAATTTTTTCTAATATGTGCCAATAACATAATCAACTCTACTTCAGATCGAGAGAAATGATTTCATAGTGCTTGCCTATAGTAACAATCTCTGTGGAAATATTAAAATATTCGAGTAGATTGGTCTGTATATCAGACAATCATTTTCTTTTATATGTATAGATTATAGATTACTCGAGTTAGAATTGGTTTAAGTGGGAGTATGTCTAGACTTGAAAAAAATATACGATGACACAAGTCTTTTATAAAGATTATTTAATACCTAAAATTAGCACATAAATCTCTCGCAATGAATTTTGTCTCTTATGTGCAGCAGTATCTACGTTAATTTCTTTCACACTTTTGGTTTAGTTTGATAGTAAACATTTTAGTAATAATTATGTTTTACGATACATTTTTGGCTGACGATAATAAGTAGTATATGTTGATTTCCCCTTTTGTGCTCCTATTAATGAAATGTTTGTTTGAATATCGCTTACTTTACAATGTATAGTAAGTCAGATTGTTACTTTGTTTTGGCACATTACCACTAAGCAGGCGTGCGCGTGATAAATCGTCTGCAATCAGTTCCCTGCACTTTTAGGGACGTGACAGAATATCGATATCATGTTATACGATAACTGATACTATCGATATCGATATTTAGTCTACATCACTTATATTTTTTGTATTGTTATTTAAGATTGATAGTCAAATATCGATATATTTAACTAGTATCAACTTTTAATTTAATCCTTTTTAACTGACAATGTTCACTGTATTTCTTCGACTATAAAATGAATATATAAGAGAAAAAAATAAAATGGAAAACTTTGACAGTTGAAATTGCACCCAAAGATCCAACACAATATACATATTGTAATTGCCCACTATGTGATTTTTTTCTTATTGAATAACAAAGCAATATTCCATACAGCCGACGTATTAATATAAATATTATTTACAAGTGTATACACGCATATATGTTATCGGCTCCCACGCAATATAAATCACATCTGACTCAAGTGCAAGCCTTATCAGTAAAAGAAATGTAACTGATTATTCTGAGCTATATAAAACAGTTTCGTTTGAAAATACTATAAGTATGATGACGTCATAAATACCGTTTTATATGTAAATGGTCTAAAAGTAAATCGATTCTTTCCAATACGTAACTTCTTAATTGACCATATTAACGTCTAATTAATTAGTGTGTTGTGTTTAAAAGTACCTTTAGTTGTAGATTTACTTGCTTTCTATATTTATGATTGATATTTTATTAAATACGAGTTTTTGCCCGCGACTTCGTCCGCGTGGTATTAGAAAACATATTGAACCGTTGCAGAATAATCGAGTAAACATTAAAAAACTAAATCAATGAATCCCACGGGAACCGTAACTATTCTCGGGATAAAAAGTAGCCTATGTATTCTTCCAGACTATGCTCTAAACCTGTGCCAAATTTCATAGAGATCCGTTCAGCCGTTTAGGCTACAAACTCTAACATCGATCCATCTAAACTTTCGCATTTATAATATTAGTAGGATGTTGCTCACTGACGTAGCTTTTAATAGTGAAAGATTTTTCGAAATCGGCCCAGTAGTTTTTGAGTTAATTCAGTACATACAAAAATACAAATCTTTCCTCTTTCAAAAAAAAATCATCAGTGCATGATGAATCTTTGCTTTCATAATAACATTACGCGAACCAAAACAAACCGAACACAAACATCAAACAAACGTAATAAATAATTCCTTTGTATTAAATCTCTTGAGAATGAAATACAATATTTATTATTCACAACGCTTCAGTAAGGGTTGCCAAAACAAGTTGTATCACAAATTTTCCAACCCTATTCATTTCACCGATTTATTCGGGCAAAGTAATATGAAGATAGATTGCATTTGTTTATAATCCAACAGCCTTACAAATAAACGCGGTATAGTAAACTTGGGAATAAACTTAGTATAAGTATTAGTACGAATTTTCCTTATACTCTTTTACTTAGGTTTAATTTTATACCTCGTTTATTGGTTAAGCTGTAAATGTTTTATCGACAGTGTTCTGTTTATTGAAAGTTGACAACCCTAGTTCATATATAATGTGACAGCTTGCAAATTGTCTAAAACCAGTTCTATACATACTTAATTAGTTTATTAATTACTAGTTTTCGTCCGCGACTCCGACCGCGTTAAAAAAAAACAAAAATATATATCCTATGCGTCTTCCAGACTATCCTCTACATATATGCCTAATTTCATCGAGATCCGTTCAGCAGTTTAGGCTACAAACTTTTACAAACATCCATCTAAACTTTCGCATTTATAATTGGTGTAATTTTTAGGTAATAAAGTAAGATGAGCAGACTTTATGTATGTAATGCATTTTATCCTTATCTACTTACCTCTTTTTATCACAAATTGTGATAAATCGCAAAGAAAAGTGATATTTGTATCAAATCTGATAAATGTCAGACAAAATGTCATTGACCCAAAGATACAACTGCCTTAAGGAAAGCCGAAATATCTTTCAATTTAAAACAAAACATATGTACAGTCAACTGCATAATTTTTTAAATTTGAAAAACGAACATAGGCCTTCCAAATTCAAAAATATTTATTCACCTATTTTCTTTAGCACATGTTCATAATCGTCACATGGACAATTACGTGCAACCGTAGACGTATAACTTATTGAAACTTCATAATTGTATACATTTATACAGCTGACTGTACGTATATTCCAATTTAATGACGACTGTCTTTTTGAGCGTACATTTGACGAAACTATCGCACAACTGTTTAGTCGCACTTAGATTCCTATAAGCTTATATGGAGGTGCATATACTCGATTTTTAGTTGTGCAAATAAACAGATGAATTGGCTGCGAAACCGACATTCGCACAACAGTTGTGTGTTTAGTCAAAGGTGTGCGTGTTTTACATTGATGGGTATTTAAGGGCATTTGTTAACAACGTCAATAATAACTAAGCAATGTATTGCAGGAGGTTTGCTGCCGCGCGAGTAGGTCAGCGGCGCGCTCGAAACATGCTTTCCACAATCAAGGGTTTCTGGAAGGTGTGCCGATATGGAGATCTCTACATGGTAACTATATCTATCAGATATAACAAAGTTTATGGCAGTTAGGGTACCAGATTGTAGAAGAAAGTGTCCGTATGTACATCTCTACGTTTCTATTCTATTTCTTGTTTATGGCTCTCCCACATCGGATTGGGCCAGTGTCAATTGTTTGTGGTTTTATTCTAATTTGGGAGAAACTGCCAACAAAACTTCTCTACGTCTCGCTTGTTGCGTGTCGTAGGAAAATGCAAGCCAATAATTTTGGACGGCGTTAGCTTTAAATTTTGTTGACTCAACCTAGCATTTATTTGTATTGTTGAGGACGTTCCGTACACTAAACTAATTTAGATGTTATGTGAGAAACGAAATCAATTCTTTTAAATGTTTATATACTGTTTTTGGTATTATAAAAATAACTAAAATGTAATTTGAGTTATAAATTCAATGTGGGTTTTTTAATTATATCAAATGATTGAAGATGTCAATCATTTCTAAATCAAAATATCAGATGTGAAAATAAAAGAATATAAATTCAATACTTGAAATAAAACATACATTTTAATGAAGCAAACTTAAAGGCAACGGGAACACAATTTACAAATAAAAAACCACGACCTTATCGGTACCGCGGTATAGTATTTTTTTTATTAAGCATTCAACGAACGATTTTTTTATAACACAAAAGTACCTAAAGTAACGAATAGTTTCAATCGTTATCAAAGATATTTCTAAATAAGATATATTTGTCATTTTAATTCCTTTTTCCTTATTATTAGATCTTAGATTTTTACTCTTCATACGAAAAATGTTTTAAAATATGAGGCAAAAAGATTGCTTGATCAGACAATAAACTATTTAAAACAAACATAATAAAAATATTTAAAACGATTTAATTACAAAAATAACCTATCTTTACACAATCGTTTCATATTCTAGACGTTGTTGCTCCCGACTTCGCCGGCGTGAAATTTAAAAATAATAAACAAAATATTACCATTCTAATGGTTAAAGAATTTTTGAAATTAGCCCAGTATTTTTTGAGTTATTTCATTATAATCAAAGTTTTCCTCTTTATAATATTAGTATGATAATAATGCTTGAATACTGTACTGGACATGTTAGTTTATTCAAAAGAGCGATTGTTCTTCCAACAGTAAGGGATGTTAATTGAAGTGACAAGATGGACGTAAATCTTGTTATAAATGTATTATTATTCTGTTACATAATCTTTGACAACTACATTATTGTACATTTGTATAAGACAGTCATTGTATTTATTTTAAAAAATCATTATAAAAATTTTACGAAAAATCAACGCCAAAGATTAAAATAAATTCAGAGAGAACGTAATTGCCACTTTACTTGAGACATTTTTTAAAGGAAGATATCTATTGATATCCTTAAAACCACATGCCAATAGTTTTAATTTATTTTGATAATAGATGTAGCTTATTGTAATTTTGTAAAATGATTGATTACATCAATACAAGGATACGAGATGGCACTATACTTGACAACTGATATAGTACCTTTAAAAGAAAGTACAGGTGGAAAAAAAATATTTTACTGCCTCGTCTATTTTTTTTAAATGTCTTTGGAGAACACGATACACTCCACGTGTTCCAGCTATTATCTAGCCATTACGTTGGTCCACGTTTGTGAGAAAAAATTCAAATCCGAGAGAAACACGCAACTTTTCCTGCATTTACCGTGATAACCACAATTAAGGTATTGTCAACAAAACGTCATCCAATTTCTTACAATGTGTAGTTTTACAATAGCAAGGAAACTGTTATTTATTGTTATAAAATACTAGCTGTTCCCTTACGGTTTCATCTGCATAAAATTATAAATTATTTTATTGTTTTCATTTGTCAAACTCTCAATTGGAAATGTCAAAATTACCGTTACCATAACTTTGCTTCCTAAATGTTGGCAGCTTGTAGTTTATGGTCTCTTTCCACATGAAGGTGTTTTCCAATTTATTTACCCCCTAAGTTTAATAGCGTAAAAATATATAGCCTAAAGCGTGACGTAAATGTAGGGCTTTTTATTAAAAAAAGAGTTATTGGAAAATATGCCTTGATTGCTGACATCTTAGGTTAGAAGTGTTTGTTTACGCTTTATTATAATAGTATAGATTTATGTACAAAAGTGTAAATTAATATTTAATAAATTTACTGATCGTCTAATCTTTGAGATGAAAAAAATACTGAAATCTCAACCACTTTGTTATATGAATTAACGAGGCAAAACTGAGTCATGTTATTTATATATTTTAATTGCTATTAGGTAATATGAATATTCTATTACATAAGTTGTGTTCAGATGAAGGTCAACGTATGCAAACTGACGATGCGATATTTTTAAAAAACAGTGTTTAATAATGTAGATATTTACTTTAAATATCTATAAATATAATAAAAATAACACATTTTAATATATAAAAACAACATCTAAATATAAGAAAACCTGTTTTTTCGACCTATTAAAGAAACTACTGGATATAAGGAAGTGAAATTTCATAACTTTTTATTTTTAAAAATTTTAGAAATCCAACTCGTATAATTGTAAAGTTACTTTTATAATAAATCACTACATTACCAATTGGTATACGTTAACAACACATAACTTAATCATCGCTACTCTTAAAACATTCTTTTTTTTATTACATATAAGGTGGCAAATGAGCAAGTGGCCACCTGAATCCACCGAAATGGAAAGCGACCGCTGCCCATAAACATCCGCAATTGCAGATGCGTTGCCTACCCTTAATTGACGGAGGAGAAGACGCACATAAAGAGGGCATTTTCCCTATCTATGTGTCTCCTCCACCGTCAAATCCACTTTTCCTACCCGTCCTTTCCTCTTAAGAAAATGCAACGAGAAAGGGACTAAAATTAGGCCTCCGGCACCACACTCATCAGACGAAACGCGGAATTGCTTCCACTTCATGCCTGTTTTCTGTGTGGTCGTGTTATTACACCGGGCGAGGCCGGCCGGCCCATTCATGCGAAGAAGCGGGCTCTACCACTAACAAAATTCATAAAATGCATAACAGATTTCCGTGTTAAGTTAACTCAAACGTGCAAAGTGCAAATTAAACGCGAGAACTAAATTGTCGCAAACGAAAACAACATAAATGAAGGTTAAAAGTGTATGATGATGCGCTGATTATCGTGTCCACTATAATTATACACTGCCGATGTTGTGATTTTTATGCTTCGTTTACAATCGACGTTAAAAAATGGCAAGTTGTTCAAGTTGTAATATTAATGTTTTGATGATTTATTCGTTTGTGTTAAGCTACAAAATTTACACTTGCTTAGCTACTAGTTTTAGGTTCTACAGGTATACCACGTAAAAACACATAGACTTAGATATAAACTAGATATAAACGGCAGCGATGAATACAAGTTGACCATGACTTCTCGTGAAAAGACTTTTTGTTCAAATATGGAGAGAAACTTTTGGTCAAATATGGAAAGAAAATCAAATAGTTATTGTAATATGTTAATTCAAGAAACCAGTTCGGTTTAATAATAATTAAGTAAATAACGTTAATTTCGAAGATCACATTAAGTATCCGATTTAGAAACCATAAAATTTTACATAAATTACATCTCTACATCATTTTCAGTACCTCAGTAGCGCTTTCATTCAAAACGATTATTCATACAAGTTACTCATTCTATTACAAGAGAAGCTAGTAGTTGAGCGAGTACTATCGCAGTGTGAACGCAGCACCGGATGATATTACATGCAACTCTAGAGCGAAACAAAGTTCGACATTGAACTTGAACTGGTCGAGGCTAGCAAGTCAGTCACCGTGCAACTTGACTTGACCGATGTGTTTATATTTGAAGTTGTTAGCTTCCTTTTATAAAGATTGAGTTTTCTGACTTTATTAGATAAACTGTAATGTTATCTTACTAACATTATAAATGCGCAAGTTCAGATGGATGGATGTTTGTTACAGTTTGTAGCCTAAACTGCTGAACGGATCTCGATGTAATTTGGCATAGATGTAGAGCATAGTCTGGAAGAACACATAGGCTACTTGATTTGTTTTTTTTTAACGCGGACGGAGTCGCGGGCGAAAGCTATTGTAAGAGAGAAACAACTTTCTAAATTTATGTATAATCTATTTAGAAATATGTAGAAAAATACAATGTTAATAGACTTCAGACTATGAATGTAATTATAGATAATTTTATTTCTAAACAAAAGGTAGCTATTATTATTTTAATTATTTCAAAAACAATTAAAACACGTTCACACCTACTCTTTGTAATAGTACTCCTAAGTAAATATATTCCATACGAAGAATTTTAAATGGAAACATCTAGAAGGGGTCTTCAAAAGGGTATAAAACGCAATACAGGACAGGTTTATTTAGCCTTCTTTCATATCATTATATAAAACCTTATTTAACACTAGCTATTGCTCTCGACTTCGCCCGCGTAAACATAATAAAATAACGACAACGTAGCTTTTTAATGGTGAAGGAATTTGAAATCGGTCCAGTAGTTTGAGTTATTCCAATCCTATGTACAAAAATACAAATATTTCTTTATAACATATATATAGATACTTAATTTATGTGCAAAACCATCGAGCGATGAAACAGATTCAACGGAAAAAAAAATTCTTTCATCTTTAAAGGACTTACCACAAAGATTCAAGGGATAAAGGGCATTTAAACGATTTCCCAGATTGTTTCTTTACGAAAATATTAAAGTTTTTAAAACTAGGATACAGGTAATCAGATGTTTTTTGATATATTTTCTTGTAGCGCCATCTAGTATTGTACAAAATACCATGGAAACATTTGGAATAATGACGCACTAATTAAATTTTTCGATAAACATTGCACAATATTACTTCAGATTAAATTAAGTCCCAGAGACAAAATTTTATTATTTTGTCTCAGAGAGTCAGAATCAGTCAGAGCCAAATTTTTTTTTTTATCTTTTAGAATGCATTTATAATGCAGTTTGTTTTACTTTATTAACTAACAATAA